TCTGCTGTGTTGGTTTACCCTACCATGTATCTGCTGTGTTGGTTTACCCTACCATGTATCTGCTGTGTTGGTTTACCCTACCATGTATCTGCTGTGTTGGTTTACCCTTGCCACAGGTCTCCCAGTGTGATTTCCCATCTGCAGGTCTCCCAGTGTGATCGCAGACCACATCTTCTGTAACTCGTTTTGCTATCAGGTGTCTGTCGTGCCTATTTCCCTTACCTAAACTTCTCTAGCTAATTCCACTGCTCTTCTATCTGTCTATATTCCTTACCTTCAAAGTGGAATAATTTAATTAATTTAATTTTATGACTTAATTTATATTTGTTACTGAACATCCCTATCGGATATTTAGTCAAACGGATCTCTCCTGCGTGTTTCGCCGCGTCCCGGCAGCGCGTCACCGACTGGGTGACGTCATATGTGACGTCTTCCTGACCTCTGACCTTGCAGACGCAGCAGCGTGAGACAGAGCAGAGTCGTGTGGAGCGCCTGCAGGCTGAGCGGGCCCAGCACAGTCTACAGGAGCAGCAGCAGCAACAGCAGCAGCAGCAGGCTGCAGCGGAGAGGGCCAGGCCGGAGACGGAGCGTGAGAAGGAGCTACGCAGACAGCGGGAGCTGCAGAACAAACTAGAGCAGGAGAAGGTGAGGGGAAGGGGAGATAAGAGAAAAACTAATTTTGTCTTTGACAACGTGCCCCAGGCTCTCACCCTCTCCCCTCCTCTAGTTTTCTCTGCAGCAACAGTTTCCGAGTCGAAGTTAATGTTAAGACTAACGTTAAGGTGAGGGAGTAGTGGCAGGGGAGATATAAGGGAGGGGGTGAGAGCCTGGGGCACGTTGTCAAAGACAAAATTAGTTTTAACGTTAGTCTTAACATTAACTTCGACTCGGAAACTGTTGCTGCAGAGAAAACTAGAGGAGAAGGTGAGGGAGTAGTGGCAGGGGAGATATAAGGGAGAGGGTGAGAGCCTGGGGCACGTTGTCAAAGACAAAATTAGTCTTAACATTAACTTTGACTCGTCAACCGTTGGCAGAGGAGCTGTAGAGTAAACTAGAGCAGGAGAATGGGAGGGGCAGGGGAGATATAAGGGGGAGAGGTAAGAGCCTCACTGTGAGAAGGAATTTCACGATAAGGTTCGCTCTCTCCTTGGATTCCTTGTTCAGTAATGAGAGAGAGAGAGAGAGAGAGAGAGAGAGAGAGAGAGANCTTCTTCTCCCCCTCTCTCCCCTCCTCTCTCTCTCTCTCCTTCCCTCTCCCTCTTCCTCGCTCTTTCTCTGTCTCGCTGTCTCTCTTTATATTCTCTCCCTCTTCCTGTCCCTATTTGTTGCCTACGCACACGCACGCATCCACCCACCTACCCACGCACGCGCTCGTGTCCACACACACATCACTCTCTCCCTCCATATATCTCTCTCTCTCTCTCTCCCTCTCTCTCTCTCTCTCTCTCTCTCTCTCTCTCTCTCTCTCTC